TCCTTTAGTAGCCTAGGATGCAATTCATCGGGCCCCACGGATTTACCTATGTCAAGCTTATTTAGCAGATCAAAGACATCGAGTTCATTAATGGTCACGCTATCCAGTGTATGTGTAGGGGGGTTTGTATGCGCTGACGGGAAGGGTGCTTCTATGGTATATACGTTGCTAAAGTAGTTTGAGAACACTTGAGCCTTACCAAAGTCATCTTCCACTAATGATGCGGCAGTACTGTCTCCCCATAGTGCAGGGATAATTCCTCTTCTTTTTGTCCTTTGGTTTATATAGGAATACAGGCGTTTAGGACATTCTATGGATTCCTTAACAATTTTTTCTTCGTACAGTTTTCTAGACTTACGGAGGGTCGAGGCACAGGTATTCCTAGCTTTTCGGTACTGAGATTTTGTCTCATCAGACCCCAGTAACCTAAATCTATCCCACATTTTTCTTCTCTTACGGAGAAGGATGCGGACCTCCTTATTGACCCATGGTGGGGAGTTTCTCGGCCCCCTTGGTCTAGTCCAAGGAATGTGGGGTGCGGTAACTTTTAAATATAGATTTCGGAATGCATTCCAAGCCGTTTCAATTGAGGACGCTGGGTCTATTGTCCAATCTACTAGTGGTGGTCAAAAATAGAAATATTCTAGTGGATAGAGGTTAAGCAGGAAGACGAATTTAAAGTCGACAGTTAATCTTTTCTCGCACAAACTATTGGATAAGTTACAAACCGATGTGCGTTCGTGTTGCCTTGTGGTTATACCCACGAGTGGTTGATATTTTAACAGACATATTACACAGGAGCATTTACATGCTGCTAATGCTTGTTAAAGAACCACGATAGCCGATTATAACCGTAGTCGACTAGTTAGTTCTACCTACTGAACTAGTTATTTCAGTTTAAATATTAATCAACATTGACATGAAGCAACGAAAGTTCACAGTAACAGATTAACATAGGCGATGATAAAAATGGAAAAGAATAAGTATAGATTGCAATAATAAAGACTATAATGATAAGTTGCGTTATTCGCAGTCTTGCTCACCAATGTAGATCATCCATGCAAGTACTGACCGGGCCCAACGTTACCAACGTGATGGAGGTGGGATTCGAACCCACGCCCTTTCGGACTGGTTGATTTTGTTCGATATTCAATGGCTAGGGCTCAGTGGAATTTCACTGGCCCTACAGTACCTTACTATGATTTACCCATTCTTTTCCTCTTTTGTCGACAGTATATCTAGGTTTCTGCATGGAAGTATCGGTGATCCACTGTTACCGGATATGGAAGCCCGTTAAGCTATAGGTTTTTCTATTACATCCACAACCATTTAAACCATTTATGTGAAAATCAAAACGGAAAATGATATATTAATTTCCGAAAACGAACAGACTCACATTTAATAAGTTGGTGTACCAGATTACGTCGGGCTCTTCACCTAAGATGCCATAATAATTTGGAGTTTGACAAAGCCTTAACTATTAAAACTTTTCACTTTCGAAATATGTCAACCCAATGAATTCAGTAGTTAAAAGCGAAGAGGTTGGAAGATACATTTGATAGGCTATCAATATATCGAGAAGTAACCAGGATCCTAACTACGCCTGGAGTCCCTTTCCGGGGGCTACTGCCGGTCCCAAGCCCGGATAAAGGAGGAGGGTTTGGCATGGGGTTAGCGACCCCATCTCGTAGAAAACTAACTCACTAAAAAAACGCTAACCAGAAAAAATTATTCAAACCATTTAAACTCTGCCCTGGGAGTCAGGAGTTCTTCGTTTATAAAATTATGACGCCTCATGATGAAAGCCGAGTTTCTTCGGAAGTCACGAGGCCGATGCCCCTTCTGACAACCAGAGCAACCATTTATTTAGGTACATGGAATGCTCGCACAATGTGGGAGACTGGGAGAGTTTTCCAAATTGCTGCAGAAATGAGGAGATACAACCTAGAGGTGCTTGGGATCAGTGAAACACATTGGACGCAAGTCGGACAACAACGACTAGCTTCAGGGGAGCTGCTGTTATACTGCGGACATGAACAAGAAAATGCCCCACATACACAAGGAGTTGCATTGATGCTGTCCAAACAAGCACAAAATGCACTTATAGGATGGGAATCTCATGGACCAAGGATCATCAAAGCCTCCTTCAAAACAAAGAAAACGGGCATTACAATGAACGTCATCCAATGCTACGCGCCTACCAACGACTACAATGAAGACGCTAAAGATCAATTCTACGATAGGCTGCAGTCAATCGTCGAGAAGTGCCCAACAAAAGACCTGACTATTCTGATGGGAGACCTAAATGCCAAGGTTGGAATTGACAACACCGGATATGAAGAGATCATGGGACGACACGGACTCGGAGAAAGGAACGAAAATGGTGAGAGATTTGCAAATCTATGTGCCTTCAATAAACTGGTCATAGGCGGGACTATATTTCCACATAAACGCATACACAAAACCACATAGACTTCACCGGATCACACCACACAGAACCAAATCGACCATATCTGCATCAACAAAAAGTTCAGGAGGACGATGGAGGACGTGAGAACAAAGAGATGAGCTGATATAGCATCAGATCATCACTTGCTGGTCGCCAAGATGAAATTGAAACTCAAGAGGCACTGGACAACGGGGCGGACAATATCACAAAAATTTAATACGGCTCTTCTGTGGGATACTGACAAACTCAATAAATTCAAGATAACCCTCAGCAATAAGTTCCAAGCCTTTCATGATCTACTCAATGGAGAAGGAACTACTATGGAGAGCAACTGGAAAGAGATAAAAGAGGCAATCACTTCAACATGTCATGAGGTTCTGGGCCAAAAGAAGCACCATCACAAGGATTGGATCACGGTCGATACACTGGATAAGATTCAAGAAAGGAGGAACAAGAAGGCAGCAGTCAATACCAGTCGAACAAGAGCAGAAAAAGTCAATGCACAGGCTGAATACACAGAAGTAAACAAGCTAGTGAAGAGGAGCATCAGAACCGACAAACGTAAATATGTGGAAGATTTGGCATTGACGGCGGAAAAGGCTGCCAGAGAAGGAAACATGAGACAACTGTATGAAACAACAAAGAAACTCTCCGGAAATCACCGTAATCCAGAACGACCAGTGAAAAGCAAGGAAGGCAAGATAATCACCAACATTGAAGAACAACGAAACAGGTAGGTAGAACACTTCAAAGAACTCTTGAATCGACCAGCCCCACTGAACCCACCCAACATCGAAGCAGCACTCACGGACCTCCAAATTGATGTTGGCGCACCGACAATTGAAGAAATCAGCATAGCTATCAGAAAAATCAAGTGTGGCAAAGTAGCAGAATCAGACAGCATTCCAGCAGAGGCACTGAAAGCAGACGTAGCGGCAACTGCAAGGATACTCCAAACTCTCTTCAGAAAGATCTGGGATGAGGAACAGGTACCAACAGAATGGAAAGAAGGACTTCTAGTCAAAATACAAAAGAAAGGCGATCTCACCAACTGTGACAACTACAGGGGAATCACTCTTCTTTCAATACCAGGAAAAGTCTTCAACAGGGTATTGTTAAACAGGATGAAGGACTCCGTAGACGCCCAACTTCGAGACCAACAGGCAGGATTCCGTAAGGACAGATCGTGCACAGACCAAATCGCAACTCTATGGATCATTGTGGAACAATCAATTGAATGGAATTCATCACTCTATATCAACTTCATTGACTACGAAAAAGCATTTGATAGCGTGGACAGAACAACCCTATGGAAGCTTCTTCGACACTACGGTGTGCCTCAGAAGATAGTCAATATCATACAGAATTCCTATGATGGATTAAACTGCAAAATCGTGCATGGAGGACAGTTGACAAAGTCGTTCGAAGTAAAGACCGGTGTTAGGCAAGGTTGCTTACTCTCACCCTTTTTCTTTCTCCTGGTGATCGACTGGATCATGAAGACATCAACATCTTAAGGGAAGCACGGGATACAGTGGATAGCTAGGATGCAGCTGAACGATCTAGACTTCGCAGATGATCTGGCTCTCAATATACACAAAGGGCAAATCAAGATTCTTCGATACAACACAGCATGCAACAATCCAATCACAATTGAAGGAGAAGCTTTGGAAGATGTAAAAACCTTTACATATTTGGGCAGTATCATCGATGAACACGGTGGATCCGATGCAGATGTGAAGGCACGGATTGGCAAAGCAAGAGCAACATATTTACAACTGAAGAATATCTGGAACTCAAACACAACTATCTGTCAACCAACACCAAAGTCAGAATTTTCAATACAAATGTCAAGACAGTTCTACTGTATGGGGCGGAAACCTGGAAAACTACGAAATCAATCGTCCAAAAGATACAGATGTTTATTAACAGTTGTCTATGCAAAATACTTCAGATCCGCTGGCCGGACACTATAAGCAACAACCTACTGTGGGAGAGAACAAATCAGATTCCAGTGGAGGAAGAAATCAGGAAGAAACGCTGGAAGTGGATAGGACACACATTGAGGAAAGCACTGAACTGCGTCACAAGACAAGCCCTCATATGGAATCCTCAAGGTCGAAGGAGGAGAGGAAGACCAGAGAATACATTACGCTGAGAAATGGAGATAGATATGAGAATAATGAACAAGAATTGGATGGAACTAGAAAAGAAGGCCCAGGACAGAGTGGGTTGGAGAATGCTGGTCGGCGGCCCATGCTCCATTGGGAGTAACAGGCGTAAGTAAGTAACCAGGAGCCTTCAGCTAGGCGAGCCCATTAAACCTAATATTGTCAGCATCAAATGTCGAAAACTTACAAAGCTATTGATTTTACAGACTTATTTACTCTACAATGTGATATCAGCACCTTCCGTTTATATACTTTAAACAAAATTGGACCTTCACAGAGTCACAAACTGCAAGGATTAATATAGGTCGACAGATCTCTTATCCTTATTAATGAAGACTGAATTTGAAGCCACTTGAACCCGTTTGAGGTAAGCTGCTGAAGGTCGCCCTAATGATAAAGCGCTAATCTCAATCTGTGGGAAGGTTGTGAGGATGTTGTCATGTGTTTTCCAGAGACTTTTCAGTCAACTCAGTTTTCGTACTCTTAATTTGACCCCATTTTTCCGAAGTCCTATTCCCAAGGCTTTTGGTAAGTTAAAATTTTACTGTGATATGATTTATAGTTTCCAGCTCGCCGGCCTTTGTATATAGATCTCATGCTTGTGGTGAGCTGAGTACGCGACATATCAACTCAACAGTTACAGTGTGCGGATGGCTTGAATATTGTCGAATGTCATCTCGTTTTCTTGTTCTTCGTGATGATCGTGGTTTAGTACAAATATATTGTGACAAAAATTCTCTCCGAATTCCGCAATTTACTTTTGAGTCTGTCCTGAGAGTGACAGGTAAAGTTCAAGCACGTCCGGAAAAGGATGTAAATAAGGTAGTGTTATTTGTGTTACACCTTAGCTTTAAGCTTATGCCAACTGGTGAAATTGAAATAGTTGCCGAAAGCATTGAAATCCTCAATCATTCGTCTTTACTTTCTTTTCTTCCGAAAGATGCGGCGAATGTTAGTTGTTATCCTACGATCACTCAGTCATTTTAAGGTCAATGAAACTGAAAGATTAAGGTATCGTTACCTTGATCTTCGTTCGTCGAATATGCAAAGAAACATACGGTTTCGTTCATCTATCACATTGCAAATGCGAAGCTTCTTATGTCAAAATAATGGTATTGTAAACCTTTTGTGATTCACATATATAGGTTTTATTGAAATCGAAACTCCATATTTGTTCAAAATTACTCCAGGGGCAAGTATTTGTGATAACCTTTAATTTCTGTAGGGTGCCCGTGAGTTTATTGTGCCTACCAAGTTTCCTGGATTATGGTATTGCTTACCTCAGAGCCCCCAACAATTCAAGCAACTTTTGGTGATAAGTGGATTTGGTAAATATATGCAGATCGCTAGGTGTTTTCGTGACGAGACTTCTAGGTCTGACAGACAGCCCGAGTTTACTCAGGTTATTTTTCATTCTTCCTAACTTTTGTAGTTGGACATAGAAATGGCATTTATCACTCCAGATGATATTTATGAAATAATTGAGAACATGTTGCTATATATTTGGCCTACAGTTCAGAGTACTTCAGGTTGTCAACCCATTTCAACACCCTTTTCGCGCATGAAATATTGTGATGCTATGTCACGATATGGAAGTGACAAACCAGATGTACGCTTCGGTTTCTTATTTTCATATTCCGCAGTTGATGGACACACCGGTTTTAATATACCAAGAAAATATGTAAGTATCTTTTTATGGTTCTTCACTTTCTAGGTTCTCGAAAGCTTATGTATAGTTAGTAAATGCTAGGTTTCAGTCAGTCAGTCAGTTACAACGTAGGACCAGGCACATATGTGCATCGGTCCAAGTTGCTACACCTCATTAGCACAGCAAGATGAACACGAAATTCATAGAAACAAGCAACTCAATGGTGTAATATATAAAGGCAAGATTGTATATAAGGATATAGTACAGGAAGAAAGTTAGTTCGTAGAAAGAAAGATATGAAATAATTTTAGTCTCATAGTTGACGGGAAGACAGAGAGTGTATACACCTACGCCACTGTGATCGATTCTGTGCCATGTCACCAAGAGTCTCCAACCATTGGTTACGATAGTCACTCGGACCTCAAACAAGTAGTCTGCATCTACCAACATGGCCCAGACCAGAAGTTGGTGACTTCAAGTACTGATGTCACGTTTTGGTTTGGCCGCCCCTAACTCTCTTCCAATTATCCTTAACACCGGTTAGCATTGCACGTCGTGTTAATGGGTGTTCAGGCATGCTCAACACGTTGCCCAACTATCTCAGACGATGAAAAATGCTAGGTTTATGTTTCACTAGCGAGAAAACTGTCCATCTGGACACTTCTCTGTATCATTTGAATATAGAAAAGTGTATTAATAATTTATTGACTTCATAGTCCTACAGCGGTGATATGTTGAAGTAATTTTCTCGAAATAGTTTCATCCTCAGAGCAATTTGGTATGTGTTAACTACGATGAGTTGGTTTAATGTTGGTTATATACCATTGATGACTTCTTTCTTGATGTTATCTTCTGATAATGATAGAAAGATAATGGTTTTCTCAGCAATGAGAAGCGTGTTCGTTGTTTATCTTCATGGCTCCATCAACTCGGATCAGTGTATTAAAATTGATCCTGGTATTCAGAGTAGTAGTGAAAACTTCACAGTTTTATCGCACTTCCATAAAATATTATTCTAATAACTAATGGGTTTTAAATTGTAGATAAAGACCTTCAGCAAAACATTCTCCACGTACCTATTGTCATACTGATGGGATTCATTCTCCGTAGTATCCGACATGCAGTTCACCAAACGTTTGTCAAGGATAGTGAAAAAACCTATGTTTAAGTGCTTCTTGATTGAGGTCTGAGATTGCAATAATCTTTCATATTTTCTCAACTTTCCCGGCTTTATTCAAATATCCGTATTCTTTCACTTTTGTAGTAATTTCCTCCCGTTTTTTCTTATAAGAAACGTGGAAACCTCGAACATTTTGGATTTACTCCAGGCCCTTTATTGTTTACGGTGTATATCTCGTGTAATATTGGCTTTCTTCTTCTTTCAGTCATCAAGTTTAAGTTCTGAAGATTGGGACTCTTTGGAGGATTTGGTCTTTCGTTTAACAGGCCAAGTATGTCATCTGTAACTTCATTTTCTGTAGGGTATTTTTAAGTGCTTTGTTTTATTAAACTTGATTTTACCCCAAATTTTACTTATGTTTATGAGTGCTAAACAAGCTTTTCACGTCATACATTTGGAAGAATTCACAACATCACAAAAGCGAGATCAGCCTAGTCGGTCAGTTATAAAGTCGGGTACATGTGTGCGTCAGTCCAAGTCCTCATACCACATCTGCAAGACAAGATGAAATTAACAATAGGAAGAATACAATTTTTTGAAGCAATAGTATAACCGGTAATAGTGAGAAAGATTATGTACTGAAGAACGCTGTTCCTAGAGAACGGATTAATTCAGGGAATAAAAATTGCGAATTGATCTTTAAACTCGAGACTTAAGAGGCAATGAGTAAATTTTTGTGTCAGTTTTTGGTTCTGACCCATTCCATCCTACACCTTCAACCACTGACCATGGTTATTGTGCAGACCTCAACCAGTTGGTTTACACTCACCAACACAATAGTAAATTACTTCATGGGCTGATGTGTCTTCGGAAGTGTCAGCCTCCCACGTACCCCTACTAACAACAAAGTTTGTGTTTGTAAACTGTTACTTGGAACAATAACATAAGCTCATCAGTCTTCTGAAACTCCTATAGTGTTAAGGATGATTAAACTTATCTTTTTATCAGAATCGATCGTAAGTATTAATTCATTTTCAGTTAGTTAGGCAATCATTATAGTTAAAACAAATGATTTGTCTGTTTAACATTTTACTTCATTGACTACTAGAAACTTAATTGGAGTTAGCAGAAATTTTTTTGGTTGGTGAAATACCAGTGTTATACCCCGCTTATTGCTATTCGGAAACTAGTTAGTTTGTATTAATAAAAAACACGAAGTTCAGCTAAGAGCTCTCTTTTCAATCGCTGTAAAATTCCCATTATATTAAAACAATTGTATGAACGAAGAATATTCTTTTCAATAATTTCTCATCAGGTTCTGCAATTATAAATCCAAATTAATAATCATAGAACCAAGACTATATGCTCTGCGGATACGATTGAAGATGAAACAAAGACGTTATACATAACCCTGAACGAAAATGGATATCCCGAGAAATTTATAAGTAAAAACATAGCCAATAAAAAAACAGAATTGAGAATTAAATGGTGGTTGGAGGTAGTCGACAGGAAACCCTGTCGACTACCTCCAACCACCATCTAATCTCACAATACTGCCCACAGTGTTGAGTCATCTAGACTAGTGGCTACATTGTAACATGGTTGATAGCATTCGATCTGTACTAATAATAAGGAATAGACACGTATGATATTGGTCACCACACAGTGATCAATCAATTGAGAATAGAGCATACCCAACTGTAAATAAAAAGCCTCTGTATATACGCTTACAATTCAAAGGCGATGCACCGGGTGAAATGCTAAGACTAAAGTTAAGCAGATCAATTCAAAGGACTTTTAATGCGGGTAAACTACAACTAATGTTTTCCACACGACCAATAATCACTCCGAGGTTGAAAGATAAATTACCTAGACTAGCCACTTCCTTCTGTATCTATCAATTCAACTGTTCCTGTGGAGCAAGTTATATTGGCAGATGTTCTAGGAATTTGTACATTCGGGCTCGTGAGCACCTACCCGTGTGGTTAAGCAAAGGTATAGTCAAGACGGTTAACAGCTCCATCTTAGACCATCTAGTTCAGACAGGACATACAGCGAACATGGAGCAATCTTTTGCAATAATCTATCGTGTTGACAGCAGTTTACCTAATTCTGTCAGGCTGCGAATCCTACAGACGGCTGAAGCAATTGCTATTCGGATCAAAAAGCCAGAGCTTTGCATCCAAAAGAAGTATGTTCAGCCACTCCTTTTACCCTGGCCAACTTTGGGGCCAACTAGTTAATAATCAATTTTATAATATGGTGACATAATTTGATTAATCTTCATCTTATGTCCCAAACTTATTATTATTGTTATTATTATAATTATCTTTACGACTGTGATTATCATTGTTATTATTATTATCATTATTATTATTATTACATTTGATAACCGTTTTGAGGAATTTATTCAATATCCACCCCTAAATCTACTATATCTGACCTAATTCATATTATTCCACATATTACGTAATTTCCGATTTTTATCCTAAAATGTTTTCTCTCACCCCATGTTGACTATATTTATTCTAATCATTATTTATCGCACAATTTCATTTCACTTATAAACTGATTCAAGTTAACACTTCATATTAGTCAGCTCCAACACTAACGATCTGATTTGATTTTATATAACAAATAACAATTCTTAATTCACATATTACAATTTCCAAATGAAGCTCTCTTTTCAACAAATTTATTATCAAGGTGTACAATCATATTTATGATGCACATAGGCTCCAGTACCCTGAAGGAACAAATGGCGTATGAACCAATCGTTGTTCACCGGCTACCATGGAACTGCATCTCCTTACGATGCTCCACTGCCTTGTTGGTCAGACGTTCAGGTCGAAGGCTCGGGGTGTGGTCCCCTAAGAAAACCACCTGCTTCGGTTTGAGCATCCGTTCAGTATCACAGCCCTCACACATATCAAATGAGATTTGTGTGGTGCATATGTATTTGGTACCTCCTTGTACCAATATCTATGAGTTAAAATAAATAAATAATACACCTTGACAATAAATTTATTGAAAAGAGATCCCTTCACTGAACTTCGTGTTTTTTAATGTCTAAATGGGAATGTGTATTCAGTCGCAATATGTTCACTTATTGTTTTGTCTGACTTCAATTTTGATTAGTGTTTCGATGAATTTGGCTAAGTGATTTTCTACTGTTTTTTATATTTTATAGAGAATATCAATTTTTACAGTTCAAAATATCAAGTCAAAACACTTGGACTTACTAAATTTATTAAAACCAGAGTGTGGTGATTCAGTTGTCTTCATTAAAGGAAATACAGAAACTGAGGTAACAATTACGTTTAAGACTGATTGATTTTTGCCTACTAGTTAAAAGCACTGGGCACGGCACGAGTTGAAATCGCTAAGCTTATTGATTCGAAAGGTGATATCTTTTTCTATTTCATTATTTGATCAACTAGCTTTTAGATAACGACTACAGTTATATTCTTTAGTGGTAATTGTATATTTTTCGAATGATTAAACTACATCATTAACTAGTCACATACTGGAGATTAACCAGAGTTAATGAGTCTTGTTCCTAATGTTAACTTTGATAATGGATGACGTTATTTCAAGCCGTGGATAGGTATTTCAGACAAATACTACTAAACAATGTATCAACAAACTCGCAGTCTAGGTCGAAAACTTAATTCTTATTGATACTATCTAACGGAATTAGAGCAGTAGTTTAGCGGTTAAAACATTCGCTTTTCAATGTGGGTGCCACTTACTTCGGTTCCAGCTTGTCGGTAGTGTTAGGATATCTATAAAAATTATCTACCCAGCTAATTTCACGATGTTTGCTAGAAATTTCCCAAATATTCTTCTAAATAAAGATAAAATGTCTGCCACAGAAAATACACCATATAAAAGTGAAATAACTTTTATCTGATGGCTTTTCTATGTTCATTAGTAATGACTGAACTCTCTAGTGAATCATTATCAGGCCTGTTAGTGCGCTGACCACGGCTGGATTATTTATTCAAAACTATTTCCGACAGTAAACCATAGTATCGGTTTCCGTCTTTTGAGAAGGAATTAATTTATCCTATTTTTTGTCCTCCAAATGCTTAACATCAGTTAGAAAGTTACTGAGTCGGTTAAAGAAGTGTCACTCCTCTTTTTTGAATACATTTTAGAGATCAACAAAAGGCGAAGTTTTCTCCAGAGCTTTTCTCATCTTACCATCAAAATACCTAAATTCTCTTATTTTTTAAATTTTTCTACGGGAATAGTGTTAACTATCTAAACATGATTATCTGTAATTCTACTGGTCACGTGAAGGATACTTGAGAATTGTAAATGAAATCCTTTAGCAAGTAAAAGGAGTTAATTGGATCTTTTATTTTAAACAGACCTTGCTTATCATCATTTATGTATCGGTGTTATTTATTTCCGATCAGGCAAAATTTGAACATCTTTAACTTTTAGAGGAGCCTACAGATCATCATACTTTCATTTCCTAATACTTTGCTCCATCCACTTGGATTTAGTTATCCTTGCACGATCTTCATGAATCATATGTCTATAATTATCTTAAGACTTAATGCTGGATATATATGTAATTTCAAAAATCATTCATATTTTATTGTTCGTTTGTATCACGTAGCCTCGACCATTGGGCATATATTACATTAACGTGAGATTTTCAGTCCTTGCCTCTGGTTTCAGGCAAAAGTAACTACTTTATTACATTTTTCCGTTCATATTAAAGGTTTGTCAATTTATGAACCCGGATTCCATTTCCTTTGGGTAAATCAATTTCCATTGTTTGAAAAAAATAACTTAGGTATGTGTTGTAAGCAAAAAAGAAATGTGTATTGTAGTGAATTGGTTTTATGCTAATTGTTGTGTTAATTCGTTCGAGAATAAACTGAATTCAGTTAGGATTATAAGCAAAAATGGATAGTGGCTAGCAGTCGAATCCAGGACGCGCGTTTCGTCCTATTTGCCAATATGAGAGACTGGTCGATTGCAGTCCTAAACATCAATTCAAGTAAAACAATATCAAGTGAATTGAATTCAGTTAGGCCTTAAAGAAGATTCTCGAGTTTTCTTTCGAGTTCGTTGTATTGTGAACATGGGAACATAATTCATAAAATGTCCACTGTTAAATAGTCAGACTATTCAATCACTAACTCTCCTGTTATTTTGAAGATAGGGCACTAGAAAATTACTATTGTGGTTATCAGGTCCGAAATTTCATGTGTTGCTTTTAAAACTTTCACTTAGTAATGGTAGTGTAGTGAACAAGAACACCAATGGGGACAATCGAATGTATTTAGGCACACAATTACAGAGCATCTCAATAAAATCTGAGAACCATATATTAAATCGTTAATTTGCAAAATATCAATCCATCATATCAAACTTGACTGTTCCTGTAGCAAACACCAATCCATTGTCTCATTTCATTGTTCATGCGTTTTCATATCAATTGCATTACGTTCCTGTTCTTTCCTCATTGACCTACTGAAATACATTCTATGTCTGACCACTGTCATATACTACTTGTGTGGATATAAGTAACCCACACCACAGTAGTTCTATATGTTGGTCATGCTATTGAGAAATATTAATATATCCACTTGGAGAGACTAGGTTCTACCTTTCTGTAATATTAAAAGATAAGGGAAACCTTTGAACGAATCCCAGATGATTTTGAGAAATTTCAGTTGGTATAGAGTAAGAATTTTTATACAAATCCAACAAATTCGAGTGTATACACTTTCTTAACATGGTTTAAAAACTTATCCAGATTAGAAAGAGGCCCTGTGTCTCTGAAATCGTAATACATACGGTATAGGAACTCATCTATGTGACTTCACAACAGTCAACCTCTGGATCCGTGATGAGGTCTCAGAAATTCTTTTAGCCTTGACCACATTGCTTCTATATTAGTGTGTACTACTGTGGTAAGGTCAACAAAATATCTCGTGAACGATGACACAATGCTCGTAACCAAGTCTGGATAGGCACCTATATGCCCTCCAGTCGTCCGTGTATATTGTGGTACCTGGCTGCACATACTCGTATAATTGGTATCAGCTTTATAACCTGTCAGTTCCTTATGTTCTGAAAATGTCTTTTTTGCGATGACCCGTCATCTACATCAAAGACCTGCCAATTATATCTAAGGAACTTCTACTTACACAGTCTTCTATCACACATTATTAAGTTTGCGTTTCCGAAAGACTGTCTCATCGATTTTCTAGATTCCTCCACCTCGTCATCTTCATTGAACATATGTCGCTATAATACTCATACCACTGAACTGCTGAAGCTTCAGTAACATCTGAAAAGATTGCAACCAGTATTACTGGTGTTCTTATTATCTAGTCTGCAACAGTTACCACAACCTGTCCTAATGTCCATCGGGATTGACTCAAGAAGTCCTCGTCCTTTCAGACTTTCGATATATTTTACACCGATTCTTATGGGCTCATCAGTGATTTATAGTCTCGCAGAAATTACACTGGATATTATATTCCTTGATTTGAGTAGGTCGTTTATGAATTCTTTAATTTACAATTTATTGTGGCCAGCCATGTCTTGTATGTTCGTAACTGTCCGGAACGAATTGCCTTATCATTGGGTAGCACTTTGACTTATTAGTATCACCACTTTATTGTCTGTTTTACTGATTGCTCTGGATAATTTTATGACAATTTATGCCCATTACTCTCTCATCGCATGTATTGTATTCCTTACTACCTATTTCCTTTAGGTCAATGGACATCAGTGCATCATCCGTTCACTGCTGCGTCACCAGAGACAGCACATTTCTTGTATACTGATCCGAGCAAAGTCATCGGTTTGCATTACGATTTAGTTTGTAATGGTCAAGAGGTTGGAGGCGGTTCAATTCGGGTACATAATCCTGAGGTGCAAAGGCATATTTTTACCGAAATTCTCAAGGTAGAGTTCTTATATATATGCATATAATCACTTTATTGTTTCAGGAAAATTCTTGTGAAATGGAATACTTTTTAACTGCCCTAAATTCGGGAGCTCCACCGCATGGTGGGATTGCGTTAGGTAAGTGGATGTTATATCCTCACATAGATTTTCTCTAGGTCTCGATCGTTTAATTGCAATATTTGTAAAGGCCAAATCAATCAGAGATGTAATTGCTTTCCCAAAAGCGGCTGATGGGAAAGATCTCTTATGTGGGACACCAACTATGGTAGATGATGAAATCTTATCACAGTATTGCATTTCTGTTTCCAATCTTAATAAAAGTTGATTTCTAAACGATAATTTTTTGCCTTCCCAAGTGGTGGTTACTTTAGCAATATCACAGTAGGTTGTGTTTTATTTTTGTTAGGGAACTTTCACCATCATGGTATCTTGATGTCTGAGTATCGTGAATATAATTAGATTATGTGAAAAGCAAATAGATAATAGATTATGTTTCATGTTTTTGTTATAATACTTACTACGGTGCGCCTTCAACAACAAGAATACTTGAGAATTATCGGAATTAGAAACTCTAATCAATTTGCATCATTTTTGAAGATGGTACTCATTGCATTCATACTACTATTGACCCCCATCTTAGCTGCGTTACACGCTAGTTGAAACGATCAATATTGCTATGAGTCCTGATAAATGCCCGTAGGTAGAGTCTCAAAATGTTGTATTTTAGATTGGGAATACTGTAAGTGCAAGAACAGCAATGTCTAGGTTATAAAGTGGGTTCGTTCTATTTCATAGCTTCCTATTAGCTCTAAACAGACTAAAATTACAAGGAATAATATAATTATGAACATACTCAACATACTTTATTCAGCGATGTTTATATGAATATTCCATATGGAATCGTGAATCATAAGGAGAAGAACATGATACAGAACATATGATCAAATCTGTTTAAGATTGTTGCACATGTATGTGCTGAAAATGATACAAAATAGAAAGGGTAAAGTCACAATTACTAATAATTTAATGTGACAGGAAATGATTACACAATTGTGATCAAAATAATGAGCGATTGTATACGTATGTATTATGATTATATTCCAAACAGAAATCAAATATCTGAATAGAACGGCTGTGTTTATGTTATAAAACGCAGTGAACTTGGGTCACAAAATGTTTTAAGCAAATAGTTGATTTTAGAAAGCTGTCATGGTAGATGAAATTCTCTATAAGAATTCCCAAACTTAAGGTTGATTGATTAAAGAGCGGTTGCCAACCTCGTTTATCAGTTCATAAGTGATGACCTAGTTATATAGTTGCATTGTGCCAACTAGACTAAGTTACTCTACATCTCTTAGTTGAAATTCATCATGATATGCGTTCATATTTATTGAAATAAAAGGGGTAGGTCCATGTAAGTCTATGCACTACGTTTTCCATAGAAATCACTGAATCTCTGGTGGCATTTATGTACCATTCAGCATCAGAATTCTTACACCGTGTTCGTAATAATCGCTCCCAAAATACCACTTTCTTCAAAACCAACTATTCTTTGTGGTCACCCGGCTTTTTATGATGTGTGGTAATGATTACACTGTTGTCATGAGTTTGGATCTGTTGGCTATGCTTTAAGTTGTAGCAGTATTGTTTCATGTACCCTTGAATATCTGGCTGAAATGTTAGCAGTTGTATATTTTTTTTTGTGGACCTTCGATAACTTGTCTTCACGTTTTGAACGTGAAATTTGTAAACGTATTGATGAACTGTATGTTGACGGAAATGTAGTTGTATATCAATGGTCAGTATTCACATATTACCATTTCAAATCGCTCCAATAATGGGGGAAATTAGCCTAACTTAATAGTCAAGTTTCGACTGCATGGTTAACAAAATTGGAGTCGTACAATTATTTATGCTTTAAAGTGTATTTATTTTTGTGAATAACTTTTCATTATTGAGCCGTTTAAATGTCACCTCTATGGGTAACTTATCGTCTTTAAGAAAGCATCAGCTTTCACAAGCCAATTATAATTTAGTGAGATAGGAATTCTAAAACCATTCTTCTGTTCCGAAAGGATACCATTTTCATTGAGGTATTTAAACAACTCCATCCAAATAATCTTATCTAGAATTTTAACAAAAACGTCAAATTGAACGTATTAATGATCCCAGATTAATCCCGTAAGTATAAATAACGAACTCCGCCTGTAGCTCTTCTAGAGTTACTGCCGGTCCCAACTCCGGGTAAAGGAGGAGGGTTGGGCATGGGTTTAGCGACCCCATCCCGTAGAAAACTAACTCGCTAAAAACACGCTAACCAGTAAAATAACTCAAACCATTTAAACTCTGCCCTGCGAGTCAGGAGGTCTTCATTTATAAGAGTTATGACGACTCATGGTGAAAGCCGAGTTCCTTCGGAAGTTATGAAGCCGATGTCCCTTCTAACAATCAGAGCAACAACTTTTATAGGTACATGGAACGTCCGGACAATGTAGGATACCGGGAAGACCATTCAAATAGCAACGGAAGTGAGGAGATACAACTTGGCAGTACTGGGAATCAGTGAAACCAATTGGACCCAAGCTGGACAACAAATGCTAAATACAGGAGAGATGCTACTATACTCCGGTCACGAAGAGGAAGGTGCTCCACACACTCAGAGAGTTGCTCTAATGCTATCCAATATAGTATGAAATGCACTTGAAGGATGGGAATTTCACGGATCCGGAATCATCAAAGTGTAGTGACCTACTTTTGTCAACAGAACGCGATTGGTTCAATGAAAACAATTATTATTATAGCCAATTGTACCAGTGATTGTTCTACTGTGCTTGTTTGTTTAACTGTGCTAATGACAGCCATATTGGCGTTCCATTGGACTCCATCACTTTTTCTGCACGGTTTGTGACTCTACGCACGTACTTTTTCCTGCCGACACCACTTGTACTCCTTTTGCACGATCTCGGTATTCTTTCGATACCACGAGATCGCCAACGAATAAACTTGGTTACGAACCACTCTCGCCTTCTGATTTAATTGGAACGCGCTCAACTTGTAGTGGTGTTCATAGTCAATCGCGACTCGACTCCACGCTACAAAAGCATCATTCAAAACAAAGAAGGTGGGGATCACAATGAACATTATCCAATGTTATGCACCCACCAATGATAGCAACGCCGACATTAAAGATCAATTCTATGGGAGGCTGAAACCAATCATAGAGAAGTGCCAAAGGAAGGTCCTCACCATTCTGATGGGAGATCTAAACGCCAAAGTCAGATTAGACAACACCGGATATGAAGATACCATGGGACGACATGGACTAAGAGAGAGAAACGAAAATGGGGGAAGATTTGCAAATCTGTGTGCATTCAACAGATTGGTCATAGGCGGCACAATATTTTCACATAAACGTATACACAAAGCTACTTGGATCTCACTGGACCGCACCACAGATAACCAGATAGATCATATTTGCATCAATAAAAAGTTCCGAAGGACAATGAAAGACAAGAGAAACAGGAGAAAAACGGATATAGTTTCAGATCATCACCTGGTTATGGCCGATGTAAAACTGAAGCTAAAGAAGAACTGGACAAACAGCATTACATAGGTTCAATACAGCCTTCCTTCGAGATACTGACAAACTCAATGAATTCAAGCCCTACAGGATCTACTGAAGGAAGAAGAAACTACTATGGAGGATAACTGGAAAGGTACCAAAGAAGCATTAACTTCAACGTGTCAAGAGGTTCTGGGCCCCAAGAAACATCACAAGGAATGGATCTCTATAGAAACACTGGACAGGATCAAAGAAAGAAAGAACAAGAAGACAGCAATTAACAACAGTCGAACAAGAGCAGAGAAAGTCCAAGCACAAGCAGAGTACATAGAAGCAAACAAGCAAGTGAAGAAGAGCATTAGAGCTGACAAGCAAAAATACGTGGAAGAACTAGCAACGACGGCGGAAAAAGCTGCAAGAGAAGGAAATATGAGATAGCTTTACGATACGACAAAGAAGCTAGCAGGGAAATACAGTAAACCAGAGAGACCAGTCAAAGACAAAGAAGGAAGACCAATCACTGAGATTCAACAACAGCGGAACAGATGGGCAGAGTACTTCGAGGAACTCCTGAACAGGCCAGCTCCAATGAATCCACCGGACATCGAAGCAGCACACACAGATCTTCCTATAGATGTCAATCCACCAACGACAGAAGAAATCAGAATGGCCGTCAGACAAATCAAGAGCGGGAAAGCAGCAGCACCTGACAATATACCAGCTGAAGCGCTGAAGTCAGACATCGAAGTCACTACAAGTATGCTTCATCTTCTATTCAAGAAGATTTGGGAGGAGGAACAAGTGCCGATGGATTGGAAAGAAGGACACCTCATCAAGATTCCAAAGAAAGGAGATCTGAGCAAGTGTGAAAACCACAGAGGCATTACACTACTGTCAATACCGGGTAAAGTCTTCAACAGAGTGTTACTGAACCGGATGAAAGACACAGTAGACGCTCAACTTCGAAATCAACAAGCTGGATTCCGTAAGGACCGGTCGTGCACGGACCAAATTCAGACACTACAGATCATCGTCGAACAATCAATTGATTGGAACTCGTCACTCTACATCAACTTCATTGATTATGACAAGGCATTTGACAGTGTAGATAGGAGAACGTTATGGAAACTTATTTGACACCACGGAGTTCCTGAGAAGATTGTCAATATTATCCGGAACTCATACGACGGACTACAGTGCAAAGTAGTGCATGGAGTACAGCTGACAGACGCATTCAAAGTAAGGACCGGAGTAAGACAAGGCTGTCTACTGTCTACCTTCCTCTTTCTTCTGGTGGTCGACTGGATTATGAAGACCTCGACATGTGAGGGGAAACACGGCATACAATTGACAGCTCAGAACCAATTAGACGATTTGGACTTCGCAGATGACCTAGCCCTCCTATCCAATACACACGAACAAATGTAGATAAAGACATCCAACATAGCAGCAGTCTCTGCATCAGTAGGCCTCAATATACACAATGGAGGAAAATCAAGATCCTCAAATACAACACGGAGAACAGCAATCCAATCATTCTTGATGGCGAAACTCTGGAAGATGTGGAATCCTTCACATACCTGGGAAGCATCGTCGATAAACAGGGAGGTTCAGATGCGGACGTAAAGGTGAGGATTGACAAAGCAAGAACTTCATTCTTTCAATTGAAGAATATATGGAACTCAAAACAACTTTCAACTAATATAAAAGTCACAATCTTCAATACGAACCTTGAGGCAGTTCTACTGTATGGAGCTGAAACTTGGAG